TAGATAGATAGATAGATAGATAGATAGATAGATAGATAGATAGATAGATAGATTATATTATCTCTCTCTCTCTCTCTCTCTCTCTGTGTGTGTGGGGGGGGGGTGTACAAATTTCTGTCTTCCAGGGCCATGTCAAATACATGCTAACAAATAGATACTAACACACTTTTCTCAATGAGTCTGGATGCAACGTTGACCTTACCCCTACCAATCAAAGTTGATTGCTGGATGAAAACGATTTGCTATTCCTGCCCTGAACAATCTATAGCATCCTTCCAATAGTGAGAATTCATCACAAATTAAGGCAAGAATGTATGAATAAGCAATGAGATAAGAGAGGCCAGTAGAAGGGCTCTGCTAAGGAGTGGGAAAGCAGCCATGTTTTGTGGAAGAAGATTTATCTAGCTTTCCTTCTTCTGCCATTTTTCTCAGCACGTTGCTCGGGGGAAGTATCAGTGCTGTAAAGGGGAAAGTGATGGGAAGTAGTTACACCATTACCAAGAAACACAAACCAGCAATCATACAAACAAGTGAATAATACACACAGTCATTGAAACCGCCGTGTTTTTTAGAATGTCTAAGAATAAAAGAGAAACACTGGCATTAGTCAAGATTCTTCGGGTCTATGCAAAGGCAAAAGCAATGACAGCAAAAACACAGAAACAAAAACAAACCTCTCTGGCCTTCACTAAAACAAATAAGAAATTAATCCTAAAGTTCTGAGTTGCTCAGAGACCCCCCCCCCAAAAAAAAAAATGCTGACCACACTTGGAGTCTCTGTGGAATTATTCTGTTATACTTTCTGCACCCCAGTTCAATAAAAATTCAAAATTAGTGGCATTAGATCAACTTAGCTGAAGCCAAGGACTTTCCTTCTAGGACAACAGAAGAGTATGAGATATCTTGTCAGAAGCAATTGTTGGTTTGGCAAATAAAGTGTTGGGTTTTTTTTTTTTTTAAGCTTAAACAAGAATCTGTGTAACAGGAAATGCATCTATCTGCTCATTCAATAAGCTTTCCTGAGTCTCTGCTGCACGCAGGGCAGTAAAAATCCATCAGTTAATAAAACGCATCGCAGCCTTGCCCTCAAAAGGCTCCTGATCTCATCGTCTACAGAGGTGCCAGTAAGTGCCACACAACCCCCCACAGTGAGTTCAAAGCCACCTCCTCCTGATCTGTGAGGCCTCAGTGGCAAGTGAGGGCCAGTCCAGTCCCCAGGACAAAGGC